AAAATCTAAAATAAGTAATAAAAAAAAGTTAGTTCTTCCAAAGTTACGACACTGAAGATAGCCAGCTTGTCGACGGCTGTCACTGATAGCGAAATAATTGCAAAAGTTTGGTGTTACTTAGGCAACGTTGGCGTTTTTCTCTGATTTGTTTATTAGACTACATCTGTATATACATATATATATTCTAATTCATAAAACACAGTTATTTAAGTTGCAATCTAATACCAAATTACCCGCGGCTACTTGTTAGGATAGATTAAGGCCGGAATGTATTATTTAAGAGCATCTAAAAAATTCTTACAATTTATATTATACATACGTATACGTATATATATACATATATACAAGTATATATATATCTATTGCAAAGCTAAAGCTCCAGACAACTACGCGTATACTCATACAAACACAAAAGAATAAGCAAGTTGTCGATGAATGAATTTCGTATGCAATCGTTAGTAATGATTTGCTTAAGCGCTTTCGATTGCTTAATGTGGTTTCGTGAATCCGTGCAGGTCCTTGGAGTCGAACGACAATTTGGCATTCTCCACTAACGCCTAGCTGCAGACCAACAGCATGTTCAAGTTATCTGTTGTCATTGTAACTGCTGCTGTTGGCCTTCATTTAGCGCTAAATTTCGCTTTATCGTTATTTGTTTAACTCCTCGTATATATGCGTGTTCATATTAAGTCGTCCGTTGAAGTTTACCAAAGTTGTGTGAACGCCTTGAAGCTTTTTGAACCCCAGCCAAGTTATAAACAACAGGTGAGTAACTTATTAATTTGATTGTAAGTATAGTTCGCTTGCGACCATAGTTGGTAAACACAAAAGCGGCGAATTCGTGGAAAAGCAACAGTTGGGTTAAGAGAGTGAGTGTAAAGTCATTTTACGGCAAGAGAGAAAGCTTAGTGTGCTTTTGGGCTTCGTTGTATAAGTAGAAATACAGAGTAAACTTAAAAGTAAGGAATTTTTTTTATCACTGGATTATTTAGAAACCTAGTGAAGTGTAGGAGAATATCATAGTAACGTTCTGGCTCTTGATTAGAGCAGCAGCATTGAACTGTGCAACCTTATTTACGTCTAATGAACATGTTTCACAGTGAACTTTCATTTTGCCCTCAGTCAATTCTAAACGTACATTCATATGAATATGTAAGCATGGATAACGTAAAAGTTACTATATACATACTGAGAATCTATCTACGAAACGAGAAAAAGTGGAAGAAGTTGAACAGAAAATTGTCACATATGCGTGATAGTTTTTATAATATGAACGATTCTTTATGATGAAAAATAAATAAAATTTAATTTTTTACACAAATGTGGAATTAATAAAATGCAAAAGATTAAGCAAAAAAGTCTTATTCCAAGTGTTTGTTGTTAGACGCACATATTTGTATGCTATGTCACTTGGTTAACGAAAGCAGACGTATACTTGTATATAAGCCGGCAGACTGGAAGCAAAAAGGCGACATAACGTAACGCAGTGACTCAACGCGATATCGCAACCGATTTTCCTCTTTAGCATTATTTCAAATTTTAACTTTTTTTGTCACATGAAAACTCATATTTCATTATGAATATACCAGGACCACTAAACTATAATATGAGAAGGAAAAAATATTAACAAATCACGTTTTATAGTGTCATCAAAACATATATTTTTTTAAAAAGTACAAACATCAGCTATATTTAGAGAAATTATTGCTTAATATAGAAAAAATCTATTCTAAATTTTCAAAAAATAATATACTAGCATTTCTGCGCTCCATTTGCCTTGTTAGCGATTAAGGAAATGCCCTGATCGAACCTGTCGCTTTATGCGTCACTCACAGCCCCTAATTTGCCGGAAAGATATCCAGATGAAAGTCTAGAATATGTAGTTTTAATAACATATTACACCCCAAAGCTTTATATGGCATTATAAGTTCATTTATTAAGTCTTTGTAATTTTCCGTTTTATGGTTTCCTAGAATATTTTTGAACAACGTTTACATTTCCGGGTGAGTTTTTCTTGATTATTCAGTTTTTCTTCAAAGCTCCTTTATTAGTTGACGTATTGGTGGACCTACAAATATTCCCGCTTTAAATTTCGCGCGCTAAGTTTGGGGAATTTTTCTTTCAGATATACAATTTCACTGCCATCTCTAGGCATAGCACATAAGCACTACGTAAGTTTGAAGACTGGGTGGTGTGTGTGGCCTTGGTTGTAATGCCACTGCTCAATTAATGACGTGAAATTACCATACTGAGATTTAAAAGTTATTTCTCCACACCCATAACATAAACTTTCTAATAACAAACGATGATGTAACTTAGGCGAGTGCGAATTATACAGTCATATAAAATAAGTTATTTAAAAAAAACACGTATATGTAATATGGTCGGTTATGAATATGTAGCTGTAACAGAAAAACTGGACGTGGTTGAAACAAAATAATTATATATTGTTGATGAGTGTACACCAACATAAATAGTGTTACAAAATCATTATTTACTAGTGAAATTTATATTGTAAACAAATATATATATAATTTAAAAATCCAATACCATAACAATCAACAGTATTTGTTTTAGATCACGTTTCCGTTTCTTAAGCTTTCAGACCCAATTCTTCAGGACTTAATACTTTTATATTCGGCCTTTTTGTCATCCGTTACGTTGACCAGATCTTTTAGCGTTTTGCATAGTAAAACATTCCCATTAAAACGATACCTACCCCGTCGTTGAAGTCATTACATACCAGCAGCAGGTTTTGCTTATTCAAACTGTAAGCGAAGATGTTTTTAAAAAAAAAAAAGATGAAGGTAAAGACAAAAGGATAAATTGATGAAAACTGTAGGTATGTTATAATAATTCATAGAATCAACTGGTATTTATGTAAATTATTGTATATTCCCTTAAATGCACAAAATTTTATTAACAAGAAATCTCCGCTGGTCTGCAAGACAATTTAACCCCAATTTTTTAAATATTTGGTACAATGAGGCACACATTTAACCAGTTGCAACATTCATCAACGTCAACCACCAGATGGTGATTTGTTCAGTTTTGTGGGGTCGGTGTATCATGTGGTACTCAAAACGCAATTGCAGACGCCCAAAAAGAAATGTGCATAAATTAATTGCAGCTGTAATACTCGTATACGCCCATATCTCACTGAAATTTGGACGGTTTTAATTACGGTGGTCTGCAATTAATAATCACAAAACGACATATACATACATATCTATTAACATAGTTGTCGTCCAGGAAAAGAAACGAAATATGAAATGGAAAGTATAAAAATGCGTATCTAAAGAATTTCAAATAATTAGAAAATGTGTACATTATGGCGTTGAAGGCGATTCGATTAAACTCTTCAAGTGTATAGTCCAAAATAAATATGCATGCACACGCATATACGCATACGAATATATTTGTGTGAAATATAAGTTTCTAGTTTATAGTTAGAGGGTCGGCTAGAGTTTGTGGAAATAAATTGTCGATTATGCAGAGGAAACAGATTTCTTAGATCATTAAAGCAGCACTAGATATATTATACTATTACAATCCAATACTACGACCATTCACAGCTGTCACTACAGCAACAGGTCGATCATTCAGTTCCCATTTACGAGCGCGCCAATACAAAATTCCGTTCGGATTAAAATTCAACCTGTTTGTATTGACTCCCACTCTTGCGAGTTAATCGACATGCGATCATCGCCGAGGAGTCGCGCATTACGCACTGCATGTAACATACTGTTGCTAATAACAGTAACACAAATCATCACTCCGCTTGCAATTTATCGCTGAAGACTGCGAATGATCGTGGCAAAAGTTATGCGCTATACCCAACTCAATGTCGAGTAAAATATTGAATATATCGGGATAAACTTTGCACGAATAGTGCCTTATGAACAACATTTCTCAAAATCGGACTATAACCAGAGAATGTTAATGAATATTAATAATTATATAATAATATTCATTAACATTCTCTGATTTAACATTTGCTCCTTCTTTATTCATTAACATTCTCTGCTATAACTGTTCAAGCTGCCAGATACCGAATATAGAGCACCAGTTCCTACTACGTACTTTTTATCGAAAATTTCTCTGTTTGCGTTTTCTCTATTTATTATATTAACATTCTTAGCTCTGGCAATTATGTATTTTCACTTACGCCCAAAAATAGACTTCATTTTATAATTTGATAGCAAACTGGCAAAGCTTTTTTTGTATAAAGCTGTATATACTGAATGAACTCACAAACGAGGCTTTGCAAAAGTGTCTTCCTTATCTTGAAGCATACTTTTTGGTCATATAGTCGCCAAATGATCTCACTAATAATCAGATTCGGTTAACGAGGATCATAAACAAATATAAGTGTGAGAGTTTTTCGATAATAAGTAAAATGTTGCTTTACCGATAAAAAGTCTCCCAGAAAATCATAAGATATTTCATTCTTCTCTTAATTTACAGGTGTTTCTTTAAGTTTTTATGCTCTTAAGAGAATTTAAGTTTGGTCCAGCTTCGAACGGAGGAAAAATTTACCGAAACAAAAACTGCTTTCCACTAATTTATTGCACGCAAAAATTTTGCTTAAATATAAAAATATATCCATATTTTCACATAAGCTCATATATTACTCAAATGTATGAAATAGTAAAAATCTGACAGAGGAATTACTCATACGCCACAGTTGTTTCTCGCGTACTATTTTTAACGAGAATTCAATAAATAGGTTTTAGTAAAACTTTTAATCACTTATTATTTTTACTCCTTGGTTCGTTGGTCAACTCGCTAATAAAGAATCACTAGCTAAAATTAGGCTGACCTCAATTAGTAAATATATGAGACAGTCATATTATGATGCCAAATTATTAAAATGCGAAAATATTGTTTTTACAGCAGGTTACCTTGTAGGATGATGAGCTCATGCGAACATAAGCGCACGCAAACTAAGTGTATCCTCAAATAAATTACAATTTATTAACAGCAATTTCACATATTCATCGCTCATTGACAAAATAATATATTTAAACTAAGAGTTATCAAGATTTATTAAGCAATACAATGAGCAATGAAATGCGCAAGCACAGGAGCCTCGCAGTTTGATGGTCTGATTGACAGAAATTACTTTCGCTTAGCACCTCTGAAAGCGAACGTCAACTGAGTGCTTCAATAACAACAAACATAATTTAATTTTTCGCAAACGGAGATTAAGAAAGATTTGCGTGAATTCACTACCACATTCTTGACAAAAAGAAAGAAAGTTATTTCACATTATCAAATATAATATATACATTTATGTATAAGTATATATGTGTTGCATATATATTTCAATTTATTAACCATCGGTCATTTTTATTAAGATCGTTTAATTTTACTTATATCATATAATAAGTTAATTAGTATTATATACACATATGTACAAGAATGATATAATTGCAATACTTTCAAAGAAAATATTAATTATAAGATAAAGTATGTACATATAATTAAAAATAATGACACTTTAATTCAACAAGAGATTTTTTTTAAGTAAATTTATGCATGCTTCGCATTTAAGCTTCGATAATTAGCTATCATCATTTTTACAGAAAAATAATTTCATCTTTATCATATAAAGCGCTCAAAGGTTGGTAAATATAATATTCTAAACAGAGAGATTATAGAAAAATGCGAGCAAATATTTAAATATCATACACGGTATATTATTACATCGCAGCGTAAGTACTCGTACCAGCATTCGAGTGCCGTTCATCTCTTCCATAATACTTTCTTCGGTTTACATTCACATTCCGCTTACTTGGCATCAAAATATTCACAATTCGATTTGTGCAACACTCAGGATTTCGCATCCAATTCTTTGCCTGCGAGCACCATTTCCAAATGTTCAGCATCGTAGATGACAATCAGCCCCTTGTTGAGACCCTCGAAAACCTGCGATACACGTGCTTGCAGATTGTAGAAGTAGAGCTTCTGGTTGCGAGTCTCGAAGTCTTTGATTAGTATGGAGACGACCTTGGCGGCCGTGAAGTCCGCGCCATAAATGTAGGTGCAATCGAGAACCACAGGAAGGGTTGACTTACGGCCTTGTTTGTTGATCACGTTGCGCACGAACTCCACCGATGGGAAGATGAGACAGCGATCGGGAGTGAGCATGAGATACTTGATCCCATTCGAAGCCTGTTGTAGGGGAGAATTGATTATATTATATATATTGGCATTTGCTGCATGTTACAATAACTCACTTCTAAAGTTTCAATTCGTAGTTTGGGACGCGCTGCGCTGTACAAAATGAATGCCACATTAATAGCCATGCCGACCAATATGCCGATCTGTACAGGTAGTACAATGCAGGCAATGAATGCACCTAGGCCGGGAATGAGATCAGTTCCTGAAAATCAATATTAAGTATTATCGTGAAGGTTGGGTTAGGCTAGGTTTGTTGGCTGATCCAGAGATCACATTTGGACTACTATATGTAGGCCTTTTGAACCTATACAAAATAGAACACCTGTATGTCGAAGTTATATGTCAGCAAAATGCCTTGTGGCCAATAAAAATTTGCTCAAGCATTTAATTTCTATTCCCACCAGTTTGGTGGGATTTCTGAAAGTGTGAACTCCCAAGTGTTCCGAGTCTAAATCTCGCAAACGCGAGACAATGAAGAAGCAAGTGCTAAGTTGTTTCCACTTCGCCTTCTTCCATACAGTTTCTGCAGTTGACGTTCAGTGAGACCGCCGCCCTGCTATCAGAGTGGATTGTCACTTCTCTGAAGGAGGCTACACTCCGAAGCAGCAAATCTACTGCTACCTTAATGACAGCAACCTCGGCTTGAAAAACACTGCAATAGTTAGGAAGTCTGAAACTGAAGTCAATAGAGAGTTCTTGACAATATACCCCTCCACCAATATTCCTTAACCTCAGAAGCCATTGGAGGAGGGGGACAGTGAGCGTTTTTTCGTTGCCGTGAAAGGGAAATCTGTTTTTTGGGGTCTATTATTAAATATACTTACTTTTGCTGTGCCACATCGGCTTGACTACACGATATTGCAACATAAAAATTGTCGCCGCAACAATGATTGCCGCCAGAGCTGCCTTCGGCACGTAGTAGAAAGCAGGTGTAAAATAAAGTAGTGCAAAGATAACAATAATGCCCGTATATAAATTGGACATCTGTGTTCGAACGCCACTGGCATTCAAGACAGCACCACGCGCCAAGGGACCATTACCACGGAAACCTTGTGCAAAAGAAGTGCCAACATTGCAAAGACCAATGGCAATAAGCTCTTGGTTGGCGTCGCAAGGCTTCCCGTCAGCTGTGGATGCAATTAGAAAATATGAAAACCTATATACCAAGTTTATGAAGTTTCACTTACCAAACGCCTGAATGAGCGCTGTTGTTTCCAGCAGCGAGACCAGCGGAATTACGATCAAACCAGCGCCCAAGTTGGAAACTAAATCGAGAAAACTCTCATGCATCTCAATAAGCTCACCACTCGTTGTATTCGTGTAAGTCGTTGCCGAGAATGCTGGTACCTTAAACTCAGGCAAACCATCGGGCACATAACCCACCATGCGGAAGATGTCGATACCAGATTGCAGTAAGTAATAGCCCAACAAAGCGACTAATACAACAAGCACGGCATTGCGTGAGGTGCCAATCAACCAGATGGTCTTATGCAGCATACGCTGCCAGCTTTTCTTGCCCTCTTTAGGACCGATGTCGATAAAAGTCATCGCACGCATGGCGAGTAGCAGCAAAACAGAGCTTACACCCAACGCGGCATCATTCCAGCTAATGTTGTGAAAATCCTTAATAATAGAAACCCACATGTCCACCAAAGTGTCGCCCGCTGTGTCTACGACGAGTAAATCCTTCAGCTGCGAGGTAAATATGATCAACGAGGCGGCACTGGTAAAGCCGGCACTAACCGGCCCGGATACGAAATCAATGAGAAAGCCCAACTTTAGTAAGCCCATAAGCACCTCAATTATACCCGTTAAAAAAGTTAGCAATATCGTCTTCACCAAATCACCACGCCCTATTTGGAATGTGAGCAGTGCTGCAATGGCAGTGGGCCCCACCGGTACGTCCTTGCTGGTGCCGAAAAGCACGTAGATGAAGCAGCCCATGAAGCAACTGTATAAGCCATACTGTATGTGAGACACAAAGAGGTATAGAGTTGGTACTGAATAGTAGAGTGGTTTCAGCGGTCAATATTTAAAGATAGCAAAAATGCATAAACTTAGAAGTAGTAATTTTAATTATTTTATTCGTGTATAATTAAATTAATTCAGATTGCTTATTTATGAAAGACAATGACAATTCCGTAAGCAACAAAAAAACTACAATACAAGACATTTTTTTTGGTTTTGAAAAACATTATTTTAAATTGGATGACTTTGAGTGCAATGCTTAGAGTGACAAAGTCAGACAAGATGCGAGAACAAATGACACAATTTCTTAAGTCAACCAAAAGCGGATTTCTGAATTTTAAAATGGTACATCGAATATTTAGTAAGGAGTGCATATATGTACATATGCTTTTGTTAAGATTATTCATTTCTTGTCCACTGTCTTCAAAATCCATACCGAATTTTTTCGATTGTGAGCATACCGTTATCTGAAAGGTGGTGGTGTGTTAGGAAAACTTTATAGAATTATTGAATGTCGATGTGCTTAAATTTTTTAAGATCTTACACTATACCAACCCTTATTTGTATACACGTATTTATGTATTATTATACTTTTTTAATTTTTGAGGCATTTTTAAAAGATCTTAGTACTCATAAATATTCACAGTCACTTCAAAAACTAATATGCGTAGCCATACGTGTTACTAATTATGTAATAATATAGGTAGATACTTTCGACCTGAAATCCACGTACTCACTTGCAATTCCAACCCCGTTATGCCAGCAAATGCAAGACCTTGAGGTATCACAGTTAAACCGACCGTAATACCGGCCACTAAATCCCCCACAATATCATTTCGACCATATTTCGGTAACCACTCTAAGATTGGTAGCCGCTTGTACAGGGTTTTTTTGCGAAACACATTCGAAGCAGTGTCCTTCAGCCAATCTCCAGTAGCCGAGCAGCAGTCTCGTTGATTGTTCGCATCCACTTCATCGACAATGCAATCCGAAGAGCCTATGTATAGGTCGCCCGGCGGTACTTCTAAGGTTACATCGGAACCATAATTATCACAACCTTCTAGGGTAGGTGTTCTCACGTTTGACTTCACTGTAAACATTTTAATTAACTGTATCTAATTTTAATTACTGCCTTTTTAAATTTTTGCTCGGAAACGCTGTGGCGATTTTGCTTTATTGATAAAACCTTTACTGGCGAAATCGAATATTTACGTGCGCGTCCAATAATCACTTTACACTTTTTATGACTAAATAGCTGTTAAATGTGAATATTATTCCACAATTACACCGTGCACCCCAACACCCGTGTGAGCATCGGTGCTCAGTTAGTGCTTGTTGGAGGCGAAAATTTTTTAGAAATAAATGGGACTTAGCGAGGTTTGCGAGGTTTCCAACTGTACGCGCCGCCGTCACATACGCGAATGCTGTAGTTTCAGAAGCTTAGGTAGGTAGTAAGTATACAAGCGATCGAGCGAGCGTAGTGCTGAGACTATACTTGTATAGCGTTTTCCAAAATTCAAAGCGCGCTTCAAATGTGTGCGTGTGTAAGCGTGGGTTTCGCTATATGATAATGGTTTAACTAATATTAAGATGACTCCAGGTACTTTCTTGCAGATCAAATAAATTGCGCCATTTTCAATAGTAATGTCAGATGAGCTGCAAATATTTCCAAGTAAGAAACCACTTTGTTGTTGTATTATTTAAGTTTTAGACGGCGACATATAATGAGCGTTCTTGGCCAATTTCTTTGCCACATGTATTTTTATGTTGTTTGAAAATATTAATTCTCTTTAGCCTCTTTAAATCGTTACTAACACATAGTAAGTGACCAAATATTCGAAATGTATGCAAATATATTATAACTTATAGGGAATTTCATTAATAAAAAGCTACAAAATTTCTGTTAGCGATGGACAGACATGTTTAGTGTATTGATTCCAATTGAAGTTCCGCCTAAAGTTTGCTATAAATAAATGTCCATGTTCACAAAACGACTATTCTGATTAATATTCAATAGGAAAAAATTTATATAAGTGGAATTTTAATATCTGCTTATCGATTTATGTGTGTACGCATTTGAATATTAAATAAGTGCGCACTGTCTCAAAGACGCACACAGACTCATAAAACTGCAACGAGAGACAACGTTTACTCTTTATGTAGCTCAGATTCAAAAATAACTTTCGATTCTCCAAAAATTATATACTTTTTTCAACAATTTATAGAGACAAATTGAAATGACAGTTAGGACTTTACGCAAATGCCAAAATAAGGGTCATAAGTAGACAGTTCTAGATACTTTGGATCTGAGTATGTTATGTTAAGTGACCAATTATAGTTTTTTTGGCAAAATAATCGATATTGTTTCAAATCGAATTCGAAGAAAATCAACTATCAATGAAGAACTAAAGCAGATAACATATATTCTACCATCTAACCACTTTGCTGCACTTACATCCGTGTAGGCGTGTATGTGTTAAACCCGAGTGGGTAATTAATAACCGCTGTCGTCAGCGAGATAAATTAGCAACAGCATGCGACATGTGTATGCCGGTTACCATATGCTGCCGTTGTTTGTGACATTTTTGGGAATGCCGTTTGTTGTGACTGTGAAGATGAGACGGAAGCTACAATGTTTTAAATGCTGCGATGGCTGCGGTTTTATCGCTCTCACAATATTGGACGCCGCACAAAGAAAAAACGAGATTTTATTTTTATTATATGTATGCATTTACTGCTTTTTGTTAATCGCTTCATACGTTTGTCTTACCATTCGGATTTCAGAGGTGGGTTGAAGCACTCAGACTACCTCTAGCATTTGCTCTAAGTATAGTCTGGTTCAAGCTCACGTGCTTTCTAGTCGTGAGCTTTACTCACATGTACCCCTATGTGGTTATAAGTATATACATACTCGTATGTAAATAGTAATATTTAGTAAGGGAAATACTATATTGAAATGCATAATTACTCAACCATAAAACTCACAGACGCTTAACACTTGATTTATTTTTAATATCGGAGTCGATTCGTTAAACCTGTAAGGAAGAACTAAGTTTGGGCACGTTCGAACGTGAAATACTCGTGAAAATCAGAAGCACTAATATTTGGTATATCGAGAAATATATTTATTGAGATGAGATCATACGAAATAGTATTAGCCTAATATTAACATGTAAAAACAAGTACGAAATACCATCTTTAAAGTCAACCAGAAGTCGTTGCATTCATTATAATTTAATTGATGTAATCAAATAGAGACAAATGATCAGCGGAAAACTCGCAATGTGACTATTTTGGAAAATATTTATACATATATTATTATTGCTGTAGAAGATACTGTCTTAGTATAAAATTAACCAATTTGCAAGCGAAATAACTCAATGAAAAGCCATTGTAATGTTCTGAGCGTTTAAATATAAGACTTATTGTACCTAATGACTCTTCTATCCTAGAGATGAAGAGTCAGTTTATTTATTAAATAAATATTAATATGTGTATTTATAGAATTGAATGTACTTTAATAATCGGCTGCTCATTTTGAAAAATTTTATATTGCCTTGATTAAGTAGCCGATCTCCAGAAAGACCTCCGAAAAAGTATGTGTGGCGGTGATTATTATTTTTATTTGTCTGCTTAAAATCATCTCAAATCCGAAACCATAAAAAATTTTATTACTATTGATGAATTCAGATAATGATTAAGGACTAGTCAAGTTTTTGATTTTTGACCTAGGCCTAATGGGCGCTCATCTTAAAACTGTCATTTCGATGGGTTATGCGAAATCATATGGGAATTAATGTTGCCCTTTTTAATTTCATTTGTTTTGATTCTCCTTTCTGCATAATATGAAATGTGAAAATATTAAATTACATATTCTTTTATATGCTATAAAGCTAAAAATACTGAAGCTTTGCGAGATGCTGGACATGTAGAGAATGACGATACAGAGTGGTTTCACTTCGGATATTTTAACATTATTGTTTAAGGCAACAATGTAATCTCCGCAGAAATTGTTCACATCAGATCACTATATCATATAGCTGCCAAGCAAATTGAGCGATCGGGATCAAGTTCTTGTAAGGAACCTTTGTATTAGTGAAGGGTATTATAGCTTCGGTGCAACCGAAGTACAAGTTTTTTCTTGTTGTATAAAGCATTGTCAATTTGCCGCTCCCTTGAAATAGACTACCATATTGTTATATCATGATTTTTGACAAAATAGCGGTTTCCCAGAATAAAGTCGTTTTTTCACAAAATTTGCACTTCAGAAAGTTTAAAAATCAGAATTTTATTACAATAGTGAATATTTCTATCGTTATCTATTAACGTTGTGTAAAAACTTCAAATCTATGGATTTTGAAAAAACAATTATTTTTATTTAAAGTTTTGGGAGCTGACTTCATTAAATTAAAAAATTCTAAATACGCTTATATCTTCAAAACTATGTATATACAAATATGTACATCCAATATATATGCAAAAAACGATATTTTGAAATTCACGAGTGGATATATAATATAATCTCTCAGTTTCAAAATTAACCAGACATATTTTGAGGCGCCTTAGTTAAAGACTGTTTCAATTTGAAGGTATACATACATTCATATATTATATATACATATATTCATATTTGTATGCTTTTAAAATAATTAGCGCATGTTATTCTAGCAAGAAATTTCGAGTAAGTAAATATGTGTGTTAAACAATAATATCCCGACTTTTCTATATTCAAGGTTATTTGATGACAACGATCCCAAACTAGTGAGACAGTAATTATGCGCAAACATTTCGAAAATGGGGAAAATATACAGTTGCACTTATGTCAATAACGGTAATAAAGTCTGAAGTTGTTGAGCATTTTTTATACCCATTGTACAGTAAATACATATACACATATATAAAGAATTTCGAATGCATATATTTAATTATGAAATGGATTTTTGACCGATATTGACATTGCTACGAATTACAGTCATGTGATTTCGGGACATTCACTTTGTTTTAACCCTCAAATAAAAATCGCTTTGTTAACTACGTACCTACTTGCCCCCAAGCCGTGTTATTTTCACTTTCTTTTGTGCAATATAAATGTTGTAGAGAATATTATACAATAATATTGAATGAGTTTATTCGAGGCTTGGGTTTCGCGCACAAAGTAGTAGTGCTTGAAGATAATTTGCTTCAAAGTTATTTGCAATTAAAATTGAAAATAAAAAATTTCAATTTGTATAATACATATTTATTTTATTTATATATTTAATCGTCTATTATTTAAATAAATACATTTACTTAACCGCAATCGACAAACTTAACAGTTGTATATAAAACTATACAAAATTAACTAGACCTATATATGTATGTAAGTATGTATGAATATATATATCTATATATCAATGACTCAGATTTTTATCTTTATATTTATAGTGTATGCATTTATATATGTTTCTATGTACATATGTAGTGAAAATAGTGTAGGCAAGCAGGCAGCTGTAGGACTTGAGGAAAATATACATAATTTGTTATTAACAACTACAACAAATATTTAAATTTTCTAACTGATTCCGTAAGCAATTAAGTAATGTCGTATTGTTACCTCTCCGCTTCAGCACTGTCATGTTATAGATGTATATTTCGTATATTTTTTGCGTCCCTTTTATATTGCCTTTATTGATTTAGAAAGACGTTTCGATATATATAACTGGTATGTACAAATGTGTCAAATCGTTTTTCAAACTAATTATTTAAGCTAGTCACTGACATGCCCTTGCACCAACATTCATTAATTGAATAAATTGTGGATAAATAAGCAACGGTTGTGTTGTAGAGTCGCCATTCCTTGCAAACAATATCACGTATTCATTTTCTAAGTAACTGCCTTACAGAACACACATACAATACTTAAGAATTTCCTAACCTATATTTTCACTTATTCTATTCCTTTACCGGCAAGTTCCATTTCCAAATGCTCAGCATCGTAGATAACAATCAGTCCTTTGTTAAGGCCCGCGAACACCTGCGCGACTCGCCGCTGAAGATTGTAGAAGTAAAGCTTTTGATTACGCGCCTCGAAGTCACTTATGAGCATCGAGACAACCTTGGCGGCCGTGAAGTCCGCGCCATAAATGTAGGTGCAATCGAGAACCACAGGAAGGGTTGACTTACGGCCTTGTTTGTTGATCACGTTGCGCACGAACTCCACCGATGGGAAGATGAGGCAGCGATCGGGTGTGAGCATGAGATACTTGATGCCATTCGACGTCTAAAGTGAGAGAGAAAGTGTCATGAATATATAGCGAATTTGTGAATTGTGGAGAGTAAATAAAAGTTAATTGCTCAATCAACTTACGCAAGCAGTTTCGACACGCAGTTTCGGACGTGCGGCGCTGTACAAAATAAATATGACGTTGATGCCGATGCCCACGAGAATGCCGATTTGCAACGGCAACAATAGACAAGCAATAAAGGCGCTGATACCGGGAATCAGATCGGTTTCTGTAAAGTGAGCGATATTAATATTTTAATTCTATAAGCAAACATTTTTTATTTAATTTGACTTACTTTTGCTTCTCCACATCGGCTTGATTACACGATATTGCACCATGAAGATCACGGCAGCCAAAATGATGGCGGCCAAAGCGGCTTTAGGGATATAATAGAAGGCTGGTGTGAGCCACAGTAAGGCGAATATAACAATAACACCGGTATAGAGATTGGATAGTTGTGTTCGAACACCACTAGCATTCAAAACAGCACCACGAGCAATTGGTCCATTGCCACGGAAGCCTTGGGCGAAGGAATTGCCAATATTGCACAGTCCAATGGCGATGAGCTCCTGGTTGGCATCACAAGGTTTGCCATCGGCTATCGGGTACAAACACGTGACAAATTTAAAAACTCATACTTCATTGAATATCTCTATTTCGTACTCACCAAAAGCTTGCACCAAAGCGCTATTTTCTAATAAAGAAATCAGCGGTACAACTATCAGTCCAGCACCCAAACTGCTCACCATTTGGGCGAAAGTTTCATGTGTCTCAATAACTTCGCCACTTGTGGAGTTGGTGTAGGTGGTCACAGAGAATGGTGGCACTTTGAATTCAGGCAAACCCTTCGGCACAAAACCGACCATCTTGAAGATATCAATGCCCGAGCTGCGCAACAAATAACCCATGAGTGTAACTAAAATCACCAACACCGCATTGCGTGATGTGCCAATCAGCCAGATAGTTTTCTCAAGTACCTTCTGCCAGACCGTTTTGCCATCCTTAGGTCCAATTTTGACAGTAGTCATAGCACGCATAGCCAATAGCAAGAAAACACAACCAACCCCCAGGGCTGTGTCATTCCAGCTAATATTTTGAATATCATTCAAAATTGAGATCCACATATCGACGAAAGTATCGCCCGAAGTGTTCACAACCAGTATATCTTTGAGCTGTGAAGTAAAAATGATGAGCGCGACGGCGCTCGTGAATCCCGCACTAACCGGCCCTGACACGAAGTCTATCAGAAAGCCGAGTTGTAGCAAACCCATCAGCACTTCAATTATACCAGTGAGGAAAGTGAGTAATATGGTTTTCTCCAAACTACCACGTGCAGTTTGATAGACGAGCAGTGCTGCGATGGCAGTAGGACCGACCGGCACATCTTTGCTGGAACCGAAGAGCACATAAATGAAACAGCCGAAGAAGCAGCCATAGAGACCATACTGTGAGAGAAATAACAACATACATATAATTGGCGTTTTAATAAATAAATAACGGTTTTTATATGGAGTGGACATTTTTATGTGAATTTTTTTTCTTTCAATTGAAAACATTCTCAATACTTTCTTACATCGATAAATATTTTATAATATTCGGAATATTTTTGACTTCCGTCACTTAAGCAGAGGCAAGTACACGTCTCTTCCATTTACTTAGATCGCTTCAAAATTGATAAGTGCAAATTAACAGAGGTGTTCCGTAATCTCTCGTAGCTGATAACAGGCAGGCGACATACAAATTACTAACACAAAGCGCATTTACATGCAGTCATATGTACATATATATGTACACCTGTAAGTTATTGTTATGAAATTATTTACGACGATTTTATGAATGACCGTTTAATAAGTCAAATGTAATGTGTAAATTTATAATTTATTATAAATAATCTCACTTTAGCATGAAACAATTAACTCAGTATCGAGGCTAATGGAATGCTTCAGCGCACGAACAGCAGTCACACATACATACATACCGATAAGTATGTATACTAAATGAACATACCGTGCGGGAGATTCCGTGTGAACGAAATTTGCAAAGCCGCATTTGCATAAATTATCGTAAGTTCAGTGCGAAAATAAAACGTAAACAAAGGCAAGGAAACTCATTTGGTGACCATTTTTAAATAATCGCCTTAGAATATATAATATATTCACAAATGTACATATGTATTTATGTATTCATTTCATATGTGTATGTAAACTCACTTAGCGCCAAAAGCACTTGCTTGAGATTATCTGGATCGAAGGAAACATTATTTCGCAGAATTCGATTACTTTTTTTGTTAGCTACTGACTCAGCAGAATTTCTGCATCTGATTTCGAGGTGTGACGGCAATGTTTCGAATGCTGAGCGGTCAATTAGAGAAATGCTTCAATATTTATAACAAGAATAATACCTGTACATTTTTTTTCGAAGCACTATGACGTATGTACTAATATATTTTTTGCTTGCTTTTGTAAAGTTTTTATTAAGGCATGGGTCGAAAAAAGGGTGGATTGATATCGTGGTTAATATTTAACTAAAATTGCGCGTTTTTGAGTTATGCAACTTTTCTCTTTAGTGCGATATATTTTATATTAATTCTCAAAAAAACGTAAAACATTTTTTTCAACGTTTTGTTATGGAAATTTCCGCACGCTCACCTGTAAATCTAGGCCTGTTATGCCCGCATAAGCCAAGCCCTGTGGTATCACCGTTAAACCGACCGTTATACCAGCTACCAAATCACCAACAAAATCATCACGGTCGTATTTCGGCAGCCACTGTAGTATTGGTAACCGTTTGTAGAGTGTCTTTTTGCGAAACACATTGGCGGCGGTGCGTTTGGCCCAATCGCTCGACTTTTCACAGCAACCGCGCTCGGTTTGTGGGTCATCATCTTGCACTATACAATCACTGCTGCCCGCGTACATACCATTCGATGGTATGTCTAAGGTAACATCCAAACCGAAATTGTCATTGCCTTGGCCACTCGGCGTGATCGCACTCAGTCTGTCTGAGGTCATTATGCGCACTTTTGGATTAACAACAAACTTTATTCTGTTTACACTGCAAATATAGTGGAAAAACACACTTTTATGAGATAATTATGAAAACTAAAACACTTGTCTCTCAATAAGTTAGTTTGTGGTGTGGATAAATACCACGAGTTATCTACAACTTTTAATCGGAAATTATTTGTCAGCTAAGCTGTATTACATACGTACACTACAATGCCGAACCACAAATGTGGGTGAATCAAGGATTATTATTTGTAATCAAAGAATTTGCACAAAGTCGAATTTATTTGACAAGAAAGACGGTGTCGTCGCCTCAATGTCGAGTACGCGAATGCCACAATTGCGGCGAGTGTCAAGTCTAAAAAGTGTGATCTTGCAGCGTTTTAAGACGGGTGTGTCAGTTCTCGAAAGTGCGGAAATCCCGAATACCCAAACCCGAATGCTTACAGCGACAGCGGCGCCAGTAGCAGCAGCAGCGCAAATTTAGTTCGCGTCTGTCCAATTGTCTGCAAGTGCGATTTTAATTGGTGGTTTTTTAATCGGCCGTTCGCACAAATCGAGCAGCGATGACTGCTGCAGCACTGCCGAACCCTTTGTGGTTAAAGTCGCGTGCACGACGGCGGCGCGTCAGCAGCGCGCACCTGCTGAGTGAAAAGATTTTCGGAGCGCGCAGCTCATTAACTGCCAAAAAATCGACAGCGAACAAACAAACAGCCGAGAGGCAGACATTTGGCACTTACACACATACATATTTATGTATTTGTAGACTTGAAGAATCCGGAATATTAAAGTGTCATCAAATAGGCAGACTAAAACCTTAACAAGTGATCGTTAGATATTATAAAGTAATCAGAATTAAATAATATTTGTGTTGTGAGTTGACATTAGTCACATACGAATTAAAGAGGTGTAATTATTCTAAGGAGTCCTTAAACACTTGTTTTCATTATTTTTTGGTTTTTTGCAATATAAATCTATAAGTAGGTGCCTAGCCATATGTATGTATACCCGATTACACCTAAGTTTAGGTCTTAAACACGCAACATAATGAACACATGATCGTTAATCGATCGTACGAATATTATTGTTCAGGGCGTCGATCTTAAAGTTCATCATTGCTATGTGCGATGAAATCGTGATGCCATTTTATTTTTATGGCTAATCGCAGACACACGAATTATGTTTACAGTTGAAGGGGGATCGAGAAGAAATACTAGTTTACCGTTGAGACTTAAACTGAAATAGTCTAAACAAAACTAGTATTATACCAATCACAAACTAATTTATATGTACTATAATTTTATAATCAGAAGATATTTGGTTCAGTTCCATATAAATTGTTCGTGTGATTTTGTTTTTGGTCCAAAAAAAGAGGCAATTTTTGTTTTTTGTATATTTTGGAGAAGTCTGAGATTGGTAGGTTTCTGACAGAAAGCTGTCAATTGACAAATTGCGGAATAGTTATGTAGAAAGTACCAGCTGCTGATTAGTTAAGAGCACTGTTTACATTTGCGGTAAGGCACGTTGTTTATTATAATTATGCTTCAAGTTAACTACACACTTATCCCATACAAACATACATATATGGAAGTTATTATGGAGGTTTGTGTAATTGTATGACAAGTGTAGACAATGGCAGCACGTGCCGTGATAATCGGTTATTTAGGAAACGCAATTACTGTCATAACGTGTTTTTAATAACCGTTCAAAGCACAAACAATAACAACAATCTTCACACCCACAGAACTCTGGTCAGCTGATGAATTAATTGTTAAAATAGTCTCTAAAGCATTTTCTCGTGACACCCAGCACTCTTGCCTCGTTGGGAATTGCAACAGATTTAAAATAATGTTACAACAACAACAACATTACAGACTACGAAAAAAGCGCATTGTGACGCATTTAATCGGCTTTCATCAGTTGTGTTGTTGTTGAGTTCATCGTCAAAAGTACCTTGGCGTTGGATGTTATTGTAGGGGGAACAAAAACAAAAACAAAAACAAAAACAAAAAGACAATTATGCAAAATAAGCTTGTATTACGTAAACGATTTTGTGATACTAAAAGTGACAAAAATACGAAACTTTAAAATAAAACGCGCCTGGTCCGCATTTAAAACAAAAATCCGGCATACTTATTGAGGCGACAGACTCACCGGACACTCTGACGAACATATGTACATACTATGTAAGTACGTGTGTGTGTGTGCAGGCACATCAATCGCGGCGCACGCATCATTCAAGAGCTGTTAAAAATACCTGCAATGTGTAATAAAGAAAAAAACAGCTTTCAGGTTAATTTGTAGTAATTGAAATGACTCAGTTTCAGTTGGGCAGGCGCTCAAACCCATCTCATAATTATTCATTAATAATTCGTTATTATTTTCTGCTTTCAATATGATTATAATGGGTCCGAGATAATTTAATATTTTGCAAATAAGTTACAAACAATCAGAAAGCGATAATCGCAGCATTTTCGATGAATTAATTTTTTGCCTTGTATTGCCTAGGCAGTGACGCCCGTGAAAGGGTTCGTCTGTTGGGATCAACGTACACTATACAAAATATTTCAAGATCGTTACTACAACGAACTTGTATATTGAAAAATTATGTTTTTCTAAGATAGCAGCATGTTGACACACACGACAAGTGATAAAAATTTGGGATCACAAATGTGAACTGCAATCAACTGTAAATGCCATTAGCTGCAAAGCACAAGGAATAGTTGGTTATTGCTTAACATTTGAAGTGGTAACGATTCAAAATTATGTCTTGTCCATACGTGCGTTTCATAGCCGGAAGAGTTACATTGTGTTTCGCACCAGAGGCGCTAATGGATTTCGATTAAGACGTTAACTTTAATTGTGCAACCAAATACTGCAGGCGGCAATCAATTTAATATTTGTAATTGTAATTACAGTTTACACAAACGAGGTAGTCTAGGAGCATCCGAAACCGAATTTCTTTCACAGAACTGAGAGACTAGTTCGCGTATAACAGACGGACAGACAGACGGACATGGCTAAATCGACTCAGCTCGTCGCGCTGATCAATTGTATATACTAAAAAATTCTCTCAGCTTTTATATTAATAATAAATAAATATTTTAATATTAGAAACTCTATTCAAGTGTTAGCAATACTCATACGTAATTACTTATATTCGGATTTCACCTCTGATTTCTATACTCCAATTCTTTGCAGCTCTCGCAATGATACATACTCATGTTCATACTCGTATCCATACTCATTCTTCTATATATTATAATTTCTTATTAAAATTCTGTATCATCGAATTTCAAAAGCTTTATGTTCAAAATAATCCGAAACAGACGAAAGCGTGCCACTGTATGCGCTCTATCGTTTCTTAGCTTGTCTTCTACAAATAAAAACGTTTATTACAGATAATTGATAAATGAGGCAAAATCTGTGAAAGGGTTATGAAATCACAAATTAATATTTGAAAGTAATTTGAATGTTCTAATGACGCTTAGTTATTTAACATATAAAAAAACAAAATTTTGGTATAAGCTGACAGATTTTTCTGTAGTTGAAACTGTAAATTACGTAGATTTGTTAATTATAAATACAACTCATTAAGCAGCGGTCGTGCATTTATCACTAAACATGCAGTTTCGGTAGCGGGATATCTTCTGATACACGGTGGATGGAAGAGCACTGTACTTTGACCATAACACTACAAATAACACGCAGAAATTGTGTTTTGCTTGCATTTATTTACGTCACGTGACGGCGAAGTACACAATTAATGGCCTGAAAGGAAAGAAAAAATTGAGGCTTACTTAACGACTAGCCGCTGCCTTGTATAAATGCAACTCTTCTGTTTTAAGGTAGAAATTTCCGTAGTTTAAAGACGCCAAATCTTGGTGCAACGAACTTTCTTTTATTTTCGGATAAAATACGCAATCAAAAACAAAAACAGGCTCATTGGTGTTAAGCTGCGGAAGGTACTGCTGTGGCTTTCTCCGAAGACATTTCTCGAAATGCGACTTGTAATTTTATTACTTTTTGCAAAAAAAAAAAAATCGAATTCAAAAGCCAGTTGCGATGATTTTGTTTTCGGTTTGGTTTTTGGTAAGAATACTACAGCAACATTACGATTTTTAAAGAGCATTGAAAGGGGAAGCACATTCGCGGCTGAAATTTTTAATTTGTACAGTGATGCAGTGGTCAGCGATGATTCAGAGTTCATGACTTGACCTCATTCGACATTAATTTACCGCTTCTTATGTTGCATGTACTTCGTTTGCGCCTTTTATCGTTCACTATCAAATAACGGCACTTAAATACAAATTCAGGTTGTGAAATATGGTCTGCAAAATTCGCTACTTGCATAGTCTTGACTTAAGTAGACCTCGCTGTAGTAATCCATTTAAATCTCTGTATACAAAAAATAATTTAATAAAATGGTTTGAAAGTTCAATAACAAGCGATGTTTGGCTAAATTAGACAGCAGCGTTTAATTGCGCAAATATTTTTCACACAACACAAACTTTTTGGGCTTTCAGTAAAAAGGTTCGTCATAATGTTATTTAATAAGTTTATATTACGCTTTAATTGTGATCTCTTTACATGCACCGAGGTGATTTGAGTTTTCACACTTCCGATTTAGCAAAATATTTACACTTTCACTAGGCAAATTGTAAAGGTGTTGTAGGTGTGGTCTTAAGAAAATATAGTACTTTACATAAAAAAGTAAAAAAAACGCACTAGAAAGTCCAGCTTTGTATATTGAATGAGATCGTGAAGCCAAAGCACACATCAAGTCACGACTACAGAAACTCCAAGACTGCATATTTCAGTACATAATATTGCATATAGTACGATGTACTTTGTCCACTCTTCATTATTTACTTTCGATGACGTTTCTTCAATATTATATTCCAATACCTCGTTTCATATGACGCTTCACAGCAAATTAAAGTCACGTGCTATGACGAGCGAAGACTCAAATAATAAGCAATGCTACATGCTTTATATACTTACATATGAGGTAAAGTCACATAAACCCCAACAAATAAATATGTAAACAAAGTAACCTCAGTGAAAAAAGATTCGTTTACTTTAGACGAGGGCGGCAGCGACGAAAACCAAACAGCGGGTAGCATGTAAACAAACCAACAAAAACAACAATAGCAATCATGTGAGCATTATTAAACACTGCAATTTTTTTTTAGCCACACGCGCTAAGCGACTTAAATTTGTACACAACAACTCAGCTGTCCTCAAAGCCTCTCTTATACTGAAGAGTGCCTTGGTAAGTGCCCCAAACTGGTCTAAAACACTAAATAAACCAAGCAAGCGGATGCCACGGACCAATATTCTCTCAAAAATTGCTTGCTTCAAACAATTTGGTTAAGCGGTCTATTTGAAGCCGGGTTTTGTTTGCCTTATTTGGCATGTGCGTAAGAGTAACAAGTAAGGCGTGTAAAGAACAACAAAAGCCTTGCACGCAAGCTCATATGCATCTACAAAATGTTGGCATATAAAATATG